CGAAACCGGTGAAGACTCATATTGAGTCCACAAATTATACACATCGAGTTCAATGAAGACCAAATGCTTGTGAGAGTTTGAAAAAATTGTGCATCTGAACGCAGAAAAAATACATTGATCAGTACCGCCTTTTAGCCAAAACGCGCTATTGCTACAGAGAAGTACATATAAAAAATACATTGATCATCAACGATCTTTTCATATAGAATCTAAATTGTCAATAGGAATCTACCACTGATTTAAGAACCCGCGAAGACTCCTATTGCAGCCACAGATCCTACACATAGAGTTCAGTGAAGACCAAATGCTTGTGATAGTTTGAGAAGTAACATATTAAGGTGGTCAAATTCTTGCTAGGGGAGCGAGGTGGGACTAAAAATAGCCCCTGCCACAACCTATTTAGTACGGGTTCGTGCCACGAACCGGTACTAAAGATGCTGGTGCCCGGCCAGCACCTTTAGTACCGGTTCGTGGCACGAACCGGTACTAAAGATTCGCGCTGAACCGGTACTAAAGGTCTCCTCCCGCCTAGTCATTTGAACCGACACTAATGGACGCATTAGTGCCGGCTCATATGCAAACCGGTACTAATGTTTCTCATATTTGACCCTTTTTCTACTAGTGGTGCTATCAAGGATAACTTGTTCTCTGTTCAACAGTATTGCTTGGCAGATTGGGAACGGGTGATGAGAGATGGACCTTGGTTGTTTCGTAACTACCCAGTTTTGATGGCTGGCTATGATGGTTGGTCCGATCCAGAGGAGACGGAGTTGTTCACATATCAAGCTTGGGTTCGTGTGATGGGACTTAAAGAGAAGATGCATACTGGGAGTATTGCGTTGCAGCTAGCCAAGAAGGCTGGTGTAGCGGAGTTCGTGGACGAACGTTCTGTGAAAGGTCAAGGAGGTGGAATCTGAGTGCGTGTTACTTTGGACGTGCGGAAACCACTAATAAGATGTGCTAGCCTGACCTTGAGGAAGAAGAAAGTGTTTTTTGATTTTGAGTATGAGAAGATGCCCATGTTTTGTGGCGTTTGTGGCTTAGTTAGTCATGTGACGAAGGAACATGGAAACGGTGTGCATGTAGCGAACGACGTCTTATACCCACCTACTTTGATCGCCACTTATTTCCGCCGGGACGAGTACTTTACAAGTGGAGGCGGCAATAGAGGAGGATGTGCTACTCGTGGCAAAGATTATGGTGCGGGTGGCCGAGGTATACACATGACAAAGGAGTATGATTCACATGACGATGATCTGAAGGATACCATGTCGAGCCCTATTAGAACCCCAAGCGGTGTTGACCCTTCTTCGAGTTCCTCAAAGAGGCGTTTGGGATCTGAGAAGCAGGACGGAGTACAGGTGCCAGGAGAGTTCCTAATGATTACTGATGGAAAGATGATTGTTCCTGTTGATCCCGCGTTTTCTTGTGAGAAGGGGGATGGGGATGACTCTACCTTACAGGATAGTAAGGGACACAAGACGAATGAAGAAATAACAATGGACTTGGCAAATTTGGCGGGCTCCGACATGGAGCGCCGCCAGGCCCAATGAATCACTTAGTGTGGAACTGCCAGGGGGTGGGGAACCGCCGGACAGTTCGTGAGTTGTTGGCGCTCGTTCAAGCCAACGTCCCCAAGCTTGTCTTCCTCTATGAGACTAGACAAGTTGCTTGCAGTGTGCAAAGATTAATAGAAAGACTGGGTTTGAGAGGCTTTTCTGGTGTTGATAGCAATGGATTGAGTGGAGGACTCGCTTTGTTCTGGGATGAGTCCCTGCAGGTGGATGTGTTAGATAAATGTGACAGATACATTGACGTTTTTGTGGTGGATCATGGCAGTGGTAAGAGTTGGAGGTCAACTTATGTGTATGGTGAACCAAGAGTCGAAAATAGACATTTGATGTGGGAACACCTTGCCAGATTGAGAGCCGTATCCGCTAAACCATGGCTTGTATGTGGAGACTTTAATGAGGTCATGTGGCAACATGAGCGCTTATCAAGGTCTACTCGAGCTGAGAGTCAAATGAATGCGTTCAGAGATGTGTTAGAGACTTGCGAACTATTGGACCTGGGCTTTTCAGGAGCACCTTTTACATATAACAATGGCCAGCAGGGTTACTGCAATGTCATTATTAGATTGGATCGAGCGTGTGCCGATGATGCGTGGAAGGTTTTGTTTCCTCTTGCGTAGGTTGTGCATCTCGCGACCTCTCGTTTTGATCATAGTCCACTGCTGGTGCGCGCGCGTGGGACACAGGATAATTCTCGGCATACTGCAAGCCCACGTTACAAGATTTTTTGGGAACATTACCCGGTGTTGCCGGAAATAGTGCAACAGGCTTGGAATAAAAGGAGGCCAGCTGCAGACCTAGGCGTTGTTGCTACATCCCTTAAGGGGGTAATGTCAGATCTGAAGAGGTGGAGTGTGGTCAAATTTGGCAATGTTCTTAAGGATATCGAAAAGCTCCGACGTGAGCTAGAGGAGATGCATGCATCACATGCTAGCATGGAGGTGATTCGTGCAAAAAACTACAAACTGGATGAATTGCTGTACCGGGAAGAGATGCTCTGGCTCCAAAGATCTCGGATTACTTGGTTGAAAGAAGGGGATCTAAATACCAAATATTTTCAAAGACGAGCAGTGTGGAGGGCACGGAAAAATCATATTCAAAGAGTACGTAGACATGATGGTTCATGGTGCTCTGTGCCTTCGGAGATGGAGCGTATGACAGCCTCATATTACAAGGAGGTCTTCATTAAAGACCCTACCTTGTCGCCGGACATGGTGTTAGATTGCATCGAGCCTAGAGTGAGAGACGCGATGAATAATATTTTATGTGCTAAATTTTCTGAACAGAAAGTGTCTGATGCATTGTTCCAGATTGGGACTCTTAAGGCTCCCGGTCCAGATAGTTTTCTTGGAAGATTCTACCAGAGGAACTGGACTTGCCTCAAGTCAGAGATTATTGCGGCGGTTTTATCTTTCTTTGATTCAGGTGTTTTGCCTGCTGGGGTTAATGACACCTCCATTGTGTTGATTCCTAAGGTAGACCGTCCTTCTGATCTCAAGGATTTTCGCCCTATCAGCTTGTGAAATGTCATTTATAAAATTGTTTCGAAGTGCCTGGTTAATAGGCTTCGGCCTCTACTTGATGATCTTATTTCACCGAATCAAAGTGCTTTTATTCCGGGGAGACTTATCTCTGACAATGCAATCATTGCTTTTGAGTGTGTGCACTATATTGATTCCATCTGGGGTGATTATGTTCCATATTGTGCTTACAAGCTCGACCTTTCGAAGGCCTATGGCCGTGTTGATTGGAGTTTTTTTTGGAGAAAGCTCTTCTGAAGTGGGGCTTTGCACCGACATGGGTTTCTATTCTTATGGAATGTGTTTCATCAGTGAAATATTCTGTTAAGTTGAATGGCAAACTTCTGGAGCAATTCTCCCCATTCCGGGGTTTACGTCAAGGTGATCCATTGTCCCCATTCTTGTTCTTATTTGTTGCTGATGCTCTTTCTGCATTGTTGAACAAGTCAATGGCGAACCATGGTTTGGAGCCGGTGGTTATTTGTCGGAACGCGTCGGCAATATCCCACCTACTATTTGCAGACGATTCCCTCTTATTTTTTCGTGCAAGTGTTGAGCAAGCTACAGTTGTGAAGGATGTTTTGACCATGTATGCAACGACTACTGGGCAATTGATTAATCCGTCGAAGTGTTCCATTCTTTTCTCTGGGAATTGCCCTAGCACGGTTTCACAAGAGGTAATGGGTATTTTGGAGATCACTCAGGAAATATTTGATCCTAAGTATCTTGGGTTGCCAGTGCCTACGGGCAGAATGCATAAAGGGCGGTTTCAAACTATTCAAGCGAGACTAAGTAAGAGGCTAGTTGACTGGAGCGAGAAATATATGGCGTCCTCTAGAAAAGAGATTCTTATTAAATCAGTGGCTCAGGCAATTCCCACTTATGTGATGAGTGTCTTTAAACTCCCTTATTCAGTTTGTGACGATCTTACAAGAATGATGCGTCAATACTGGTGGGGAGTTGAGAATGGTCAAGGGAAGATGGCATGGGTTGCTTGGGACAAGCTTACTCTTCCAAAGAAGAAAGGAGGCCTTGGTTTTAGGGATATGAGGGCCTTTCATCAAGCACTCTTGGCCAAGCAAACATGGCGGTTGATTGTGAAACCAGATATTCTATGTGCTCATTTGTTGAAGGCTAGATACTTCCCTAATGGTAATTTGGTTGATAAGTATTTTCAGGGAATTCTTCTGCAGTTTGGAAAGGCATTGAGCACGGTCTGGTGTTGCTGAAGAAAGGTCTTATTTGGAGGGTGGGTAATGGAAGGTCAATTCGTACATGGAGGGACCCGTGGATTCCCCGAGGAACTCCGTTCCTTCCCATTACCCCTAAGCGGAATTGTAGACTGAAGAGAGTGTCAGACTTTCTTGATGGCAATGGTGTTTGGAGGGCGGATTTGTTGAGTCTACATTTTTTCCCTATTGATGTGGCAGCAATACGACATAGCCGGACATCACCAAGGTAGCAGGAGGATTTTATTGCATGGCATCCCGACCCGAAAGGGTGCTTCTCCATTCGTAGCGCCTACAAACTCGCTATGGAGGAACATGATATTGTCTTTGCGCCGGCATCCTCTAGTTCCAACCCGGACGGCAACCGATGAGTGTGGAATTTGATCTGGCAAGTGGCCGTGCCACATCGTATGCGTACAGTAGTATGGAAGGCCATTTCAGGGGCACAAGCCACCGCGGTGAGCAAGCATAAGCGGCACTTGGCTCATAGGGCGACTTGTACAATCTGTGGTAAGTATGATGAGGACTCGTTCCATGCACTTGTCACATGTGATAATGCGGCCACTCTTTGGGATACTATGAAAGAGGTTTGGTCCATACCTAAAAAGGAGCAAGTTGTGCACACGTGGGATGAGTGGTTGTTGAATCTATTGGATCAAAATACTAGTGAGGTATAGGATATGATCATCATGCTACTGCGGAGGATCTGGTACTTGCGGAATGAATTATCGCATGGTAAAGAAATCCCTCTAGCTGAAACGTCTAAGACTTTTCTGTGTAGTTATATTAGTTCTATTCGCAATGCAGCCAATCTCACCACAGAGCAAATTATCAGAGGGAAATCGCCTTTGGAGGGTGCATTGCAGCCAGTACCAATCAAGGCAGTTCTGCCGGATACACCATGGCAGCCACCACCACCTGGCTGGCTTGCCTTGTCTGTGGATGGATCTTATTCAGCGGAAGAGGGCTCGGCGGGAGCATGCATGATCCTACGGGATAACTTGGGCTCTGTCATTTTTTCATCATGTCAACTATTATTCTACTGTAACAATGTTCTTGAGGCGGAAATTCAAGCTATTAAGATTGGAATGTCTATGGCTATCGAATGGTCTAACCTTTCGGTCTTAGTACAATCGGACTCGATGGTGACCCTTTCTTCTATGACTGATGCCTCACTTGATAAATCACCGAATGGTCAATTGGTCAGGGAGATCAAGAACTACATGCTGCAGAGGGAGTTTAAACTAGTGAAGATCGTGAGATCACAGAACATGGTTTCACATTGTCTTGCTAATTATGCCCGAATGGCTCGTAGCACTGCTTGTTGGTTGCAATGGCCACGCCCCTTCATTCATAATCTTGTATTAGCAGACTGTAAGCCTGTTACTTTGGAATAAACTTCTTTTAAACCCACAAAAAAATCGTATTCTTTGACCCGTGTTTGTGTCGTTCTTGCTCTTTTTTTTGAGAATTCTCGCCTCTTTATTGATTCAAAACAATATTCATAGGTACACGGTTTGGGTCATGTGGGTTTCCCAACCAGACATGTCTTCCGGGACCTAAGTTATAAGCAAACTTGGCGAGATTATGTGCCTCAAAATCAAAGTTTCTACGCTCATGAACAAAAGAGCAAGCAGTAAAACTATTGCTACGTTCTATGATTTCATGTACGATCGCTGCATGGGGACCTCCTGTCCCGGTTTTTATGTCGTTCACCACTTCCTGGCAGTCAGAGGCTACCACAAAGTTCTGGATGGAGAGGTCATGATGCGGAGCATCCTACATGCATCACCATGTCAAGAGTCCGTTTGGCAAGTGAAACGTGCGACCTCTACTTCTCATACATAAAGGTCCATCCTCGCTTTTACACGTATTCACTTGACCCCTTCGAGGATGGTATACTACTTGACACTCCACTCATGTGCATACATAGGTATTGTCGGAACACTACGGACAACGAGGAGGAGTGCAAGCACCAAGGAACAACTACACCATCCACGAGGGGAGCATGGAAGCGAAGACGGAAGAAGAAGGAGTTGCGGAGTCTACAGCGACCAGACGACCGGAAGCCATTGGATGTCCAACCCTCTACAGTGCCCGACGACCAGCATCCACCGGACGTTCGATGCCTGGAGTCTTCACCAGCCCGATGGACCAGCTGACGAAAGCTACAGCGGTCGGACGACCGGTAGGGACCGGCCGTCCGATGCCTGGAAGTACCAGCCTGCCAGCGCAAGCTACAACAGCCGGACGTCCGTCCCCGACCGGACGACCGGCCATCTCCAAACGTCCGGTACCACGTCAACAGAACGAAATTAGCAGAAGTCTGAGCCCTACCGGACATCCGGACCCCCGCGAGCCACCGGACAACCGGTAAGGACCGGACGTCCGCTGCCTGTGTGTGCACAGTTTCGGGCCCGAGGCCCATGTACCCTTTCACTTCGCCCTCATTTGCACTCAGACTATAAATAAACCTCCTCCTCCTCCTAGTTAGGGTTAGCAAAGTGATAGCTCATTTGTATGTGAGCTTTAGTCCTACCACTCCTCCTCTTGAGAGAGAGAGAGAGAGATACTACTACTCCATTGGAGGCCAAGACCTCCATCTAGGAG